TAGGTTACTTAGTATTTACTGTACAAATGCTGGTGCTCCTGTGCTGGGTGTATATATGTTTAGGATGGGTATTTCTTATTGATGTATTGAACCTTTTATCATTATGTAGTGTCCTTTTGTATCTTTGTAATTTTTGATAGCCTAAAGGTTGTTTTGTCTGATATTAAGTTTGCAACTCCTGCCTTCTTTTGTGATCCATATGCCTGGAAACTCATTTTCCATCCTTTAACTTTGAGTCTGTGTGCATCCTTTGTAGTGATGTGAGTTTCCTGAATGCAGCAAATAATTGGGTCTTGATTTCTAATCCAGTTTGCTATTCTGTGTCTTTTCAGTGGTGCATTTAGTCCATTTATATTCAGACTGATCATTGAACTGTGGTTGTTTATCCTTGTCATGAGGTTCATATAAAGTTTTTTCTTTGCTTGTTTTCTTTTGGTTTTGAGGTTGTTGTATGTGTGTGTTTTCAAATTTCCTATTGCATTGTATTCTCTGTTGATTCTGTGCTCTGCTGTTCTCTTGGGAAGAGTGTGTGGTCATTCTTTTTTTTTTTCTTTCTTCTGTGCTTAATACCTTTTTAAGAGTCTCCTGTAGGGCTGGTCTGGAAGCTGCATAATCTTTTAGGGATTGGATGTCTGGAAAGTATTTTAATTCTCCATCAGTGATGAAGCTGAGCTTGGCTGGATAGGAAATTCTTGGCTGAAATTGTTTATCTTTGAGGACTTTGAACATAGGGCTCCAGTCCCTTCTTGTGTGTAGTGTTTCTGCTGGTAGATCTGCTGCTATTCTGATTAGTTTTCCCTGGTAGGTAGTCTGACCTTTCTCTCTTGCTGCCTTTAGGATTTTTTCTTTTCTGCCTACTTTATGTAGGCAAATTACTATGTGTCTCGGGGTTTGTCTTCTCTTTTGATGTCTTGTGGGAGTTCTCTTGTATCTCTTGTGCTTGGCTGGTCACATCTCTGGTGAGATGGGGAAAGTTTTCTTCGATTACCTCCTGGAATATTTGTTCCAAGTTTTTCTCCTTTTCTCTTTCATCTTCTGGGATACCAATCAGGCGTAGGTTCAGCCTCTTGATACAATCACATATCTCTTGTATGCTTTGTTCTTTCTTTCTGAGTCCTCTTCCTATGTTTTTTACATATCGGGTTAATTCCATGTTCTGGTCTTCAAGTTCTGAGATTCTTTCTTCAGCTAGATTTATTTTGCTTTCCATGAATGTCATCTTGTTATTTATTTTCTGGATGAAATTTTTTACTGTCAAAATCTCTGTTACAAGTTCTTTCAGTGTTGCATCTTGTCTTTCTTGTGTCTTATTGACTCTTTCCATCCATTCCCTAATCCCTGTTGTATTCTGAGGCTATTCCTTGATGACTTCCATTGTTTGGGCACCAAAGTCTAATTTTTCAGGAGTTTTGTCTTTGGTACACTTGAAATTGCCTATGGTCTTTCTTTGGTTTTTCCTCGTTTGTGACATATCTCTAGTTTTTCTCTTTATTTCTGTTATTCAGTGTCAGTGGGAGAGGCTTTCCCTTCTGATGTTTGCTCAGTCCTCTATTCTTCCCTGATCTGGGCTCTGGATTTGTTCTATTTTGAAATATAATGCTCTCTCTTGTAGTTTTTGAAATTCAAATAAAGTAGGGGATTTGGTGCTAGGATTCAGAAACTACTTGCAAATAACAATGTTCACTTATTGTGGTATGTGTTCCCTGAGACCCACTCCCCACCACCACTCTATATGATGATGCAAAGCAGAAACCAATGCAAAAGTCAATTGAAAACATACATACACAGACATACACACTCATCCCAAAACAAACTGGAATAACAACAAAGTGAAACAAAACAAACAAAAACAAAAAACCAAGAAAACTAACCACACACACACACATGCCTAGCACAAAGTGAATAGAGAAGAAAAACAGAACGACCAGGAAGAAAAAAAAAGGTAATTCAGATCAAACCCTCACATGTATATTGACACACGCCTTAACTTACAAAAAATGAAAATATGTAAACCCCAGAAGAACGAAAGAGCAAAATCAAACTAATAGCAACAACAAAATTGAAAGATGGATGCTCAATTCCTCATATACACACATAAACAGAAAACAACAAATAAAAGAAGAAACAGAAAAATTAAAAAAAATTAGGGGTAGAATGCAAATCATACCCTCACATATTCATGCACAAAGGAAAAATATTTAATAAGTACATGAGCTAACAATAGTCAAAGAATTTAAATTTTTTTTAATTAAAAATTTAAACAAAACTTGCCCTCTTGTGGTAGACTCTGTAATTGTTCCTCTAATCAGGTCTCTCCTACAGAGCCACCTCTTTCACTCTCTCCTCAGTGTTCAAAACAGGGAAGGAGGAGGGGCAGTGGGGGTGTATGGGGCTGCAGTCCTCCTCTCCTACTCTCGAATGGTCAGGGAGATCTCCTCCCTGTGGAGAAGTAGGTGTAGGGTTGTCTTTTTCCCAGGTATGTACTCACAGGGGATGCCCCAGCCAGGCCTATGCTGGAATGGAGTTCTATTGCAACTGAAGTTCAGAGGATTGCTGGAGAAGAGGGGGTTTTGTTCCGCCCCAGACTCACCAGTGATCTCTTTGGAGTCCTTCCTCATCCTTTTCTGGCCACACCCTTTGTGTCACAGCTGGATCAGCGTAGGGAGCGTGGGGGCTGGAACTCAGCACTCTCCAAGTTCCTCTGAAGTTTGTGCTTTCAGTATATTCCCTCTGGGTCATGAGCAGTACCTGAGTAGTTGATCTGCCAGTCACAGAGTTTGGGTCTGTTGCTCCTTGGTGAGCAAGTTGGAGCACTTTCCTGTCCCACCTTCAAGATGGCGGTGTAGTGCCTCTCTTGTCCTCTTCCGTGAGACTTTGCCTCTGGACTCCCTCTGCAGCCCCTGCTGCCCTTTCCCTGCCCACTGCTGAAGTGGTGAGGCAAAGCCTGGAGCCAGCAGTCTCTCCTTCCAATGGTGAGGGAGACCCTGGGGCTACAGTCTCTCCCCATTGATTTTCACAGGAAAACTTTTGCCAATTTAAAAAAAAAATGGTACTCGGCTTCTGCGACCTGGGAGGAGCCAGGGACCAGGCAGAGAAGCTGCAGCACCAGGGGCCTAACCACTTGCTCTCAAGCCCCCACTTAGACAGTCTCTCCCAGCGTTTTCTTCCCAGGGAGGGTTTTGTTGATTTTTTAAAAAAAGAGCTAGGATCCAAGCCCAGCTGCTCCACCAGGAGACATCTGGCCGCTTGCTCCCTAGCCCTCACTCAGTCAGCCATTCACATACCCACCTGCTCACCAGCATGTATACAAAATTTTTCATGCACTCACTCACACTGGGACTCACATAGTCCAACTGACTCAGCCGCCATCCTTCCCCTGCCTCCTGCTTTTTATTGTTATAGAATTAAGACTTTCCAATATATTATTAAAAACATTGGCTATATCAGTTGTACAGTGTGTTAGGAAGAGGTTAATGAGGTAGCATCCCATAGTTAATCATAAATGGGTTCGTTTTTTTTAAAAAGTGATGTTAATTTTGTTTTTTCTGCACAATGTTAAACTAACAAATTCAAATTCAAATCCAAAAATCTCTGCAATCCAAAAGTGTTTTCATAAGTTGCTTATCAGCAAAATATCTTGAACTTAGATATAATAACTGTAATTATTAGAACAGATGAAATTTCCCAGGAGTATCTGATTGCCTCAATAACCTGGAATACATTGGTTTCGATCCAATGGGCACTAAATGAATGTTCATTAAATGGTTAACATTTTAAAAAGGGATAAAACATTACCAGAATTCTTATACTTGGAGAAGGAAGAGTAGACCAGGTATGATGCTGATGAAGTATTATAACTGGTTATGAACTTAAGTTATTATGGTTTGTTTTGAAAAGAAAAGCAAATAAGATAGTTATTTTCCTGATAAAGTAGTAAATTCCAATCCTGTATGAAAATTTATAAATGCAAATAATAAGATTTGCTCAGTTAAAATTTCTAGAGCTATTTTTCTCATAATTTACTTTGCAGCTCAATGTAGTACTAAGAAAGTACTTGTTTCAGATAGATTTGCTATTGTTTATAAAATTTTACTTAACTGGTATTGATTTGCTAAAAGTCTTTCCTGACATGTTGGATACTCAGACTAATGGTTTAGATTGATTTGTGAAATTACCTTTTCCTTTCATATTCAAGCTATTTTTTTCTTTTTCCCACTTATTTATTATAGATGTAACGTTTTCATTTCTGACATCAAGTTATAGTCATTATTTAAAGGTATCTTGATATAGGAAATAGCCAAATCTGTTGCATTTAACCAAATCGTTAAATTTAAAACATACTAGGTATACAGTTTATTTTTGTCACTCTGATATTACTTATGAGAGAGTTGAAAGATTAAATTAGTCTCTCACATACATACCATATCTCATATAAATCCAGACTGCTAGAATTATAGAGGGATCTTATAATTTGACTCTTTCAGTGTCAAAGCATCACACATCTTTAACTTTTTTGATGGGATAGGGAAGGCCACTGGACTGATTTCTTTTTATAAACTACCTGACTTTTTATAGACCTAGTCTCATCCAAAATCCTTGGGGCCTGGTATGTTCTGTCATTCAGATTTTTTTAAAAATTGTTTTAGAAAGTAAAGAAGTACATATGCTGTTATGCAGTTATTAGATTATATTCTTAGCAGGGTCTGAGGAGGCACTCTATAATTAAACACATTAATATTTCTGCAGTGAAATATATTAATATTTGCATTAAGTGGTACAAAAACTTGAAAAATTTGTGGATTTTGAGTTTTTTGGAATTTGACCTTCAAAAATCAATTGTGAAACAGTAATAAATTGTGTTACATATTATATTTATAGGTATGATGCTTTTTACAAATTATTTAAAGTATATAGCAAAATTATGTACCTTCACTTAGTGTTTATAAATTTTCCACTATTTCATCTTTTATCTTATCCTTTAAAATATTTTCTTTGTATAGCTGCTGTATTCTCGAGGATTGCCAATTGATCTTCTAATCAAATCTAATGTTAGCCGATATGCAGAGTTTAAAAATATTACCAGGATTCTTGCATTTCGAGAAGGAAAAGTGGAACAGGTACTATGCTGGCTATGAGCTTAAGTTATTATGGTTTGTTTTGGAAAGATAAGCAAATAAGATAGTTATTTTCCTGATAAAGCAGTAAATTCCAATTCTGCACGGTGATTTACAAGTGTACATTGTAAACTTTTCTCAATTAAAATTTCTAGTGCTAGTTTTCTTGTGGTTTATTTCACACCTTGATGTTGGTATTGAGAAAGTGTTAGTTTCAGGTAGCACAGCTAGATTTGTTTCCTGTTAGGATGATATGCCATTGGCCTTTTAATAGCATGAAGAGAAACTTGATAGAATGAAGTAAGAAAGCTTGCAAATTAATTAGCTCTGAAATTAACAGGTACTATTAGAACTGATGGAAGGTAACATGAAACAGCCTGACTAGAATGGAAAGAATAATCATGTTACAGGTAGAGGGGGGAAAAATGTACTTTGGAATACTTATATCATTAGGAAGCAGTTTCTTAACTTAAAATCATATTTTTTAGGTTCCTTGTTCCAGAGCAGATGTCTTTAATAGCAAACAACTTACTATGGTAGAAAAGCGGATGCTAATGAAATTTCTTACATTTTGTATGGAATATGAAGAACATCCTGATGAATACAAAGGTACTATTTTTTTCATTAAATTGTGTTCCCTAATTATTTGGACTTTCTTATTATGTTAAGGTGCCTGCTCTAATTTAGAGAACTCCTTACTGTTTAAAAAATGCATTATAATTCTGCACTATTCAATAGGTTAGCCATTGGCAACATGTAGCTATTTAAATTTAAGTTAATTAAAATGAAATAAAATTAATTCAGTTCCCCAATCTCACTAGCCATATTTCAGGTGCTCAATATCTGCATGTGGCTATTGGCTTCTGTTGCTAAAATACAGATATTTTCATCATTACAGAAATATTGTACTAGATTTTAATTTATATTCTTGTTAATTAAATACTACTGTCAATTGGCTCTTCATACCTAGTACTCTCTTTTTATGACTCCATTTTTTCTCATCAATAATTTTTAAAAACTGTATATTTCATCATTTTTCAGTTCTGCTTTTGCTTAGAATCTTGTACAGTTCATTTTGATTGTTTAACTAATAAAAGGCTAGATGGTATACAGTGAAAAACACTAGATTCAGAGAGGGTATGGCTTTTAGTCCTGGCTTTGACCCATCTCACTGTATGATCTGGGGCCAGTTACTTCATACTGTTAAAATGACACTATTTTAATATCAGAACTATATATTTTAAGTGCACTGGACTGGAAATGCTGTCTAAAATTGAGATATACTGTTGATAATTCGTGTATAAAGTTACAGTGAGAAGTACAGCAGTATTTTTTTCTTCAATGAAGTAATAAAAGTCTAATTCATGCTCTCAAAGTTTCAAATCCACTAGATATTGCTAAGTTCTTCGTAGTGGCTATGTAAACTTACATTATTCAGTAAAGTTTTATAATTTTTATTTATTTAAATTATGTTTGTCTTTTGTCTTGGGATTGTATTTCCTACCACTGGCAGTATGATTACATTGGTTTCTGTTCTTGGTTTAGAGGAGTTGTTTTTAGGGATCCCTTATATTTTGAAGAATGATGATATGGTAGTAAGACTGATTCCAGTAACCACACAGAAATTAGTTTTGTTACTTTTTCGTTTATTCTAAGTTTTAGTGAGACTTATATTTATATTATTTTAATTATATTTATATATTTTAGTTATAATAATATTTTAATTGTATTTAGTAAGATATACTAAATTTAGTATGTTTCACAAAAGTCATAGATTTATCAATTTTGTCAATTTCCATTTTGTTGTATTTATTTAATATTTTCAGATGCAGTTATTGGCATTATTTTGCAGTTTTAATGATAACAAAGCAAGATTATTGCCCAACCATGACAACCCATGTAGCTGGGACTATAGGTAGTGCCACCATGCTTGACTAATTTTTGTATTTGTTTGTAGAGACAAGGTTTCACTATGTTGCCCATGCTGATGTCAAAATCCTGGGTTTAAATGATTCTCCCTCAGCCTCCCAAAGCGCCGGGAATACAGGTGTGAGCCACTGCGCCTGGCCTCTAGTTTTTTAAATCTATAAAATACTAAACAGAAATTTGTCATTTAAAGCTTATACATTGTCCCATCAGTCTAAATTGGATATTGAGATTGCTTCTAGGTTTTTTTTTTTCTCCTGAGATCAATGGTCACTGTCCCAAATGTAATAATAATATACCTCTGTGAAGTCTTTTAAACAGACTTGATCTCATTTTCGTGAGGTAGTGTTAAATAGAAGTTTCATTCTGATTTTAATTGATAAATTTTCATCTCTCTTTTCATAGCCTGTGAGGAGATAACATTTTCGGAGTATTTAAAAACTCAAAAATTAACCCCCAACCTTCAGTATTTTATCCTACATTCGATTGCAATGACTTCAGAAACAGCCAGCAGTACCATCAGTGGTCTCCAAGCTACTAAAAACTTTCTTCACTGTCTTGGGCGGTATGGCAACACTCCATTTTTGTTTCCTTTGTATGGCCAAGGAGAACTTCCCCAGTGTTTCTGCAGGTTAGTTTGACATTGATTTTCTTGTCTCTTCTCAAGGTGAAATTTGAATAATAGATGAAAATTAGGAAAACAAAAATGAGATTTCTTTAAGATTTAGTATATTCAAACAAATACTTCATTCTATTTTTTTATAGATTATATACCTGCCTACCTACTCACCTCAATGATATATTCAGTTTGGCCTGCCTTTGTGAAATAAAAGCTTTATAAAAATACCATAAATTCCTTTTTTCACTCAATATTAGGTTTTAAAGTATCATCTTTGTATATAATTATGGTTATTATCATTGCTATATAGTATTCTATTATGAATATGCCACAATTCATTTTTTGTATTTTAAAAACTGTATATTTTTAAATGTACAGGATGTGTCCAGTTTTTTTGTTTTTAGCATCCTTGTTTATGTGTCAGAATATAAATGTTCAAGAGTTTCTCTAGGATACATATCTATCTAGGAGTAGAATACCTGAGTCATGAGACGGAAGAATGTTTAACACTTGTTTTGGCGGGGAGTGATTTTTCTTTTTTTAATTTACTTTGTTATAAAGATGTGGGGTAAAAATCAGGATTATGTACATAAGCAATGAATGTCCAGGAGAAGTTTGGGCTTCCAACTGGTCCTCACTTCTCCTGGATTAGGATCAGATACGCTTTGTGGTGTTGTATCCCTCCACCCTTCCTCCCTCCTGTCAGTGTTCCGTGACAGCTGATCCTTTCCTTGTACTATTGTGATTAATGTTCAAGTCCCACTTATGAGTGAGAACATGTGGTATTTGGTTCTTTCGGTTTCTTTGTGATAGATTGGTAAGAATGATTATCTTCAATTTCATCCAATTTGCTGATAAGTCCATGATTTTGTCTTTCTTTATGGCTGCATAATATTCCATCTTTTATATGTACCACATTATCCAGTCTGCTTTCAATGGGCAGTAGGGTTGGTTCCATGTTGTTGATATTGTGAATAGTTCAGCTGTAAACATGGCATGTGCAGGTATCCTTTTTGTAGAGTGATTTATGTTCCTCCGGGAATATTCCCAAGAGGAGGCTTGCTGGATCATATGGAAAGTCAATTTCTAGTTTCTTTAGATATTGCAACACTATTATTATTATTATTATTATTTTGGTTTCCACTGCGTTTATTACAATATAAAAAATGTTTAAAAAAATTCATTCTGAATTCTCCAACAAGTCTCACCCATCCCTCTTGCCCACACAACTTCTAACACATTTCCCCAGGGCCAGTTCAAAACTGAACCTGTTCACTGCCATTTTCACAGAAAACAACCGGTGCCAGGGTGTAGGGGCAGAGGGTTGGAAGAGGGTGACAGTACTGTCCAGGTTCCACCCAAAAATAGGCCAGGTGGAGATTTACAGAATTCAAATGAAAGAGCTGGTTGCCTGACAATGACACAGTCTAACTAAAATGGGCTGGAGAGGAGCTAGGAAGGGTAAAGCCATCAGAGGCTTTACCAGATGCCTCACTAGTCTGGGTCAGACCCAGAAAAGCCAATACCAGGAGAAGAATGGGGAGGACCAGAAAGGCAGTCTTATGGAAAGTTTCATAATTCTCCCATGTTGGGAGGTGGAATAGCCTAGAGGGCACCAAGAGCCTCACTCATTTTGACAGAAAAACTTATTCTAGTGTTGGGAAGTCACAAAAATGCCACAGACACTGAGAAAGGCTACGGGGGGAAGCACAGTTCCATAAAGAACAGTGATCACATACCATAGCGGTGGGGATCATGCTGACAGAAACTAATAAATCCAAAAGCAGAAAAGCCTTTCAGGGAGTAACTACCAGTCACCCAAGCTTGATCCCAGGTCAGACAACCTGGTGAGTTTCACAAGCAGCTGACAACATTGGGGGAAGGGGTGTCACATAAAAAGACTTAAAACAAGCAGCTAGAAGGGTGGTAGGAAACTGCTCCAGGGCTCTCAGGAATTGAGGGCAGTACTGGGGACAGGTGGACAGATAGATGCACAAGAAGCAGCACCAAAGAGGTTTCCTATTCAGCAGTCATTTGACAAGGGGCGAGAAGATCCAGGAGGCAACTGAAGGGGACAAAATTGGGTCCCAAAGGCTAGTCTGTGGATACTGGATCAGATGAATGTGCACACACTGTACACCAGTGATGAAACACAACTCTGGACCCCCAAATGAGGTAAGTGACGGATGGGGTAGATGTGTCACTGACTGAGGGTGTTGGTTGTAAGAGCCTCACAGTAGGAATCAAAGGGCCACAGGGAAATACATGGCCACTGAGTCAACAGAGGGCTCCTTCCATCCTGGATGGGAAGGCACAGTCTCACAGAGGAGGTCCATTGACGCCTGGGTGGTAGAAGGCACAAAGGTCCTCATATCGACAGTGGCCCTTTTTGGCAAAGTGTTGGCAGACAGGGCTGCCAGATTTGTCTTCTATAACCTGGGGATCATCCTTGGGTGGGCAAGTATTCTTGATAAGAGATCAACTTTTGAGTCTTGGAGGATTTCTCTGCTCTTTGTGAAAGCTTCCCCTGGAGGGACCACTATGGCCTGGCCCCAGAAAAGGAGATTCAGCACTGATGCCCCCACCAACCACAATCATATGGGCCAGGCCTGAGGCCAAAGTCTCCCCGAATTGGACCTCTACCCCAAGGAAGAGGTGGGAGACTCAGCAGTGGTAGAATCATTGGTCCCCTTGATCCAGGAGGACCTCTGTGAAGAGCTGACTTGGGATCACCAGGCTTTCCATTGGCCATTGTGGGAGGGCCCAGAAGGTTGGGTGGTCTGATGGGATTCTCATCCTCCTCATCTCCAGTCTCTTCCTGCTCAGGCAGTGGGGGCTGCTGCAGTGAGGGTGGCTGGTGCTGATTCTGCTTCTTTTGTTTCAGCATCGTGGCTTCGGCAATGGCTGCATCGGGATTTGGAGAGCAGTGAGAAAGGGCAACACTATTATTTATAGAGGTTGGACTAGTTTGCACTCCCAGCAACAGTGTAGAAGCATCCCATTTCCTCTGCACCCACACTAGCATGTATTGTTTTTTGATTTATTAATGATGGCCATTCTTATTGGGTAAGATGGTATCTCATTGTTGGTTTTGATTTGCATTTCTCTGATTAGTGACGCTGAGCATTTTTCACATGTATTTGTTGACTAATTGTATGTCTTCATTGAGAAGTGTCTATTCATGTCCTCTGCCCATTTTTAACAGGGCTATTGCGTTTTTTTCCTTTTGACTCCTTTGAGTTTCTTTTAGAACCTGGATGTTAGGGTTTTGTCAGATATACAGTTAGCAAATATCCCATTCTGTGAGTTGTCTCCCCACTTTCTTGAAGGTTTCTTTTGCTATGCAAAACCTTTTCAGTTTGATGAGATCCCACTAGTCTATCTTATCTTTCATGGCATACACATTTGGGGATTTGATCAAGAATTGGTTTCATGTGGTCAGCCAGTTTTCCCAGCACCATTTGCTAAATAACATCTCCTCTCCCCAGTGATTGTTATTGTGGCTTTGTCAAAGATGGGTTGGTTGAGAGATCAAGTTTTTGATTCTGGAATCACTTTCCTATTCCATTGGTCTATTTGTCTGTTTTTGTACAAGTACCAGGCTGTTTTGATTATTGTAGCCTTATAGTAAAGTTTGTAGGCTGGAAGTGTGATACCTCCTGCTTTGTTCCTTTTGCTGCAGATTGTTTTTACTATTGTTTGGCCAGTGTCATCCTGGGCACCTGCCCAGCACTCCTGTTTCTGGTAGCAAGAGGTTTCAGTGGTGCTGGAGCTGGAAGGTGATAGCTCCCTCCCTGTCAGATACCACAGTCTCCATATCCCAGTGGTGGGGCTGTGTGCTTTGGCCTGGGGCTGAATGTTGTGTTGGCAGGGTTAGGCAGCAAGTGGTGGCTGCTTGCTGTGGCTCTCTGTGGCTTCCTCCAGAGGAGGACTTCGTTAGTTTCAGAAAATGATACTCCTTCCTGCTATGGGAAGAACTGGGGTCAGAGCAGTAAAGAGGGCAGCCGCTTCGCCAGGAGAACTCAGGCCTCTTATTCCAGAGTCCCCACTGTCCCCACTAAGAAACTCACACACCCATTTATGCACACACATTTGTCTTTGCACACACACAGAGACTCGCACACTCCTACTGGCTCCACTACCATCTTCCTGGAACCCCCTTTTTAACACTTTATAACATAGTATCCAATTATTTCTCTAAAGGGTTGTACTAATTTCATCCTACCAACAGTGCATAAGAATTCCCATAGCTTTACATGCTTGGCAACACTTAAAAAATTTTGTCAATCTAACTCACATAAAATATCATCTCATTATATCTTTATTTTGCATTTCCTTGATTACCTATGAGATTGCACATCTTCTCATATTGACCATTTCTGTTTTCTCTTCTGGGAAGTGCTTGTTCATGTCATTTGCTCATTTGTCTATTGGGTTGTTGTCTTTGTCTTACTGATTTGTAGGATATTTAATATATATTCTGAATAATGATCTTTTTTCAGTTATATGTGTTGCATGTATTTTGTCTTATGGTATTTATGGGTACATGGAGGTCATTAAGACTGATATAGTCAAATATAGCATTTTTTTCCTTTTATACTTAGCATTTTGGGAAGCTGTATGGCATAGTAATTGTGTACCTGAACTATGGAGACAAGACTGCCTAGATTTAAATCCTAGCTTCTTCATTTATTAAACATGTAAACTTGCACAGATTTTATAGCCTCTTTATTGTATTTTCCAAGAATGAACTTTGGGCTTTTTAAAAATTATCTCTATTATAGCTTTGTGTCCCATTTTATTAATTTCTTCTCTTTATTATCTTCTTTATTTTGCTATCTTTGGGTTTTGTTTAGCTCATATTTCACCTCCCCTGCCTTTGCCAATTCTTAGGCTTAAACTCAGTGAGTTAAGTAGTCATCATTTTTTATTTTCTAATATAAACATTTAAGATTATAGAGCTCTCTCTAATTACTGTTCTGCATCTTACACATTTCTTTCTTTCTTTTTTT